TTTTCTATTGTTTTTTGCAAGGGAAAACGAGCGTCAACAAAAAACCGGATCCGGAGCTCATCCACTTTTCTGAAGCTTTCGCGAAAAAATGATGAAAATGTAGCTGCGGCCTAGGCGCGGCGCAGAGGTCGCGCACCAGGGGTCCCAACAATAATAATTCTTTAGAAGGAATAATGTTCAACAACAACAACAACCATCATTGTATCCTCATGCGCGATGTTTCCACACGAAGCATGCGACCATCATGATAGCCATCCACGTAATGGGGGACTGTTGTTCGATAGCGGGGTCCGTGATTCCCATTCCCAGATCTCCCGCCCAATGACGTCTTGCAAACACCTCCTCCGAGGAATTTCCACATCTCCTGCCTCGAAAACACATGCCCGCGCCTTGCTGCGCCGATGCGAGACCGCCAGTGGAACCCCAGCAAAGGGTAAAACACAAGGAAGTATCGAACAACAGGATTGCCTTGGTGGGGATGGGGGCTGTCGGCGGTGAGGCAAGGACCTGGCCCTGAATAGAAAGGGAGGAAGTTTCGAGCAGGGCTGCTGTTGTTGTTGGGAGCGGCGCAAAAGCTGAAGAGAGTATGGCGCTAGTCCAGCGTAAAACAAAACGAAGTCTCGGGCGGGAGCGCTGGTTTTGTTGGGGCGGCGGCTTTCGGCGGCGAGGAAGAACACCGCCTTGAGTAAGAAGGGAGGAAGCATCGAGCGGGAAGACCCTAAGCGGCCCTAAGAGGCCCCCCCGAGGCACCCAAGACCCCGAAGAGCCCCCCAGGATCGCCAAGAGACCCCCAAGACGCCCCAAGAGGCCACCAAGAATCGCCCAAGAGATACGCCAAGAGGCTCCGAGAGGCATCCAAAAGACCTCTGGCCCTTGTGCTTGCCCTCCACCTCATCCTGTTCCTCCTTCCTGCTCCTACTCCTTCTCCTCCTCCTCCTCCTCCGCCTCCTCATCCTATTCATCCTCCTTCTTCCCACTCCCTCATCCGTCCATCCATCCACCTCCTCCTTCTCCTCCTCACTCCTTTGCACGCTTCGGCCGTCCTCCTCTTTGCTGCCGCACTTCCCTGATCACCTCAACTCGCCTAGACATCGTTTCTGGATGGGCTGGTGGGGATACGCGACGCGTCTAGAATTTGTAAGGAAATCCAATGCGAGAGCGCGATTCCTGAAGAAAATGCGATGAAGTCTCAGGCGGGAGCGGGAATCTGTGAGGAAGCCTCAGGCGGGAGCCGTTGTCGTTGTAACCCGGGGACCAACCACATAGTTTGAGGAGGGAGACTTTCCGTGCTAAAAACAGGGTGCGAGCACCGGGAGGGGCACTTCAATTCAAAAAATACCATGTGCACCGCAGGGGAGGGATCAACAACACTTACTCTTCAGTAGTGAGAATTCAGCACCAATCAGCTTGAGACTGCTCCCTCGTATCTGCTCACGTGCCTTCAACACGCACATCCCAAGCCCTCGATGCCCGCCCTCCTCGTTTTCGATCGCCCCCTTGGGGGAGATCTCCCCCTGCCTGCCGCGTGTAGTTGGCGCAGCCCCTGAGACAGGAGACGGAAGGGAGGGGGGAAGAGACAAGGGGGACGGAGAAGGATCGAGCACGAGAGAGACCTGCAGGAGAAGGATGGGGAGCAGGGGTACAAACTGCAAAACCAGACGGGTGGGTCGGGCTGGCGGACCCTAACGAGCAGGTCGGGCGGGCGGGCCCAAACGGTCGGGTCGAGCGGGCGGGTCACTGAAGCGTCAATCCGACATGAATCGAAAGGAGGTTTCGAGCGACAGCGCGCTTCCCAAGTAAGTCGCGAGGACATCTAACGCGAGAGCGTGATTCCTGAATTTGGGGGGCAAGGCGCCGTAAGCAGTTGTGAGGAAGCACCACGCGAAAGCGCGATTCATGCACACATTCTGAGGAGATCCCGGGAGAGAGCGTGAGGAAAAATCAACTATCAGGAAATATCAGGCGGGACCCGTTGTCGCTGTTGCTGTTGTTGGGGGGGGCAACAACACAGTTTGAGGACCAAGACTTCCCCTGATAGAAGAAAAGGTGGGAGCCCCGGGAGGAGCACTTTACTCAAAGTAGCCTGGCGAAGAACCCAATCCATCAGAAACGCGAGGCGACTATTAGCAGGAACGCTCAATACACATGAACATACTGGGAGATCTGCAGTCCCCGAGAAACTTCGCCACACATGTGGCGGGTAACCATACAAACTCTGCCAATGGGGCCTTCGGTGGAGCTCCCTAGCGGGGCCACGAAACGTGTGAGGGGTGTACCGACATAGGGCGGATAGGCATGCGGACTCTGCCACCGGGGCCCTCGGTGGAGCTCCCTATGGAGCCACGAAGTGTGTGAGGGGTGTGCCGAAATGGGCGGATAACCATACGGACTCTGCCACTAGGGCCTTCGGCGGAGCTCCCCATGAGGCCACGAGACGTACAAATGGTGCGCCCAAATGGGGCGGGTAACCATGCAGACGCTGCCTCTGGGGCCTTCGGCGGAGCTCCCTAGCGGGGCCATGAAACGTGTAAGGGGTGCACCGACCTGGGGCGGATAAACATGCGGACTCTGCCACAGGGGCCTTCGGTGGAGCTCCCTAGCGGGGCCACGAAACGTGTGACGGGTGTGCCAAAATGGGCGGATAACCATGCAGACTCTGCCACTGGGGCCTTCGATGCAGCTCCCAATGAGGCCACGAGACGGACAAATGGTGCGCCAACATGGGGCGGGCAACCATGCAGACGCTGCCACTGGGTCCTTCGGCGGAGCTCCCTAGCGGGACCACGAAACGTGTAACGGGTGCGCCGAAACGGGGCGGGCAACCATGCAGACTCTGCCACTGGGGCCTTCGGCGGAGCTCCCAATGGGGCCACGAAACGTGAGGGGTGTGGCGAAACGGTGGTGAGAATGTTGACGGTGGTCACGAATCTGGAGATGATGGTACCGACGACGACGACTATGGTGATGGAGATAGTGGGGGTACTAATGATGATGCTGATGTCGACATTAGTAATAGCGGTACTACCACTACTAGCTGTACTATGAATCATGAATGCAACAATATGAATCATGGTACGGATTACAGTTATATGTAGCACAAAAACAGTCATCCTCGAGGTAGGATTCGGTAGACACGACACCAAAATAAAAGGTAGTATTAATGCTGGGAAATCAGGATACAACAGAACGGCTCACATTCATTATACTAATGCTAACATTAACAATAACAATGCGATTCGACATACTAAAATGAGTGATGATCAGGACCAGTCACCTTCAGCGATAGCAATGCACTTATTTTAGCAATCAACAACCACACTAGGAAGACGAGCAATGGTACTGCTCAAAACAGCAAAAGTACTACTACTGATGCTGACGATGATGCTGATGATGATGATGATGATGATGATGATGCTGATGCTGATGATGATGATGATGATGATGATGATGGTGGTGCTGATGATGATGATGATGATGATGATGGTGGTGATGATGATGATGGTGGTGATGATGATGGTGATGATGAGTGTGATGCTGATGCTGGTGTTGATGCTGATGCTGATGGCGATGACGGCGACGATGGTGATGATGGTACTGGTGCTGGTGATGATGATGATGTCCATGCTGATGATGATGATGCTGATGATGATGAAGGGATGATGATGGTGATAATGATGATGACGATGATGATGATGATGATGATGATGGTGACGATGATTATAGAGGTGGTGATGGTGGTGATGATGCAACTGATGATGATGGTGGTGGTGGCGGTGGTGATGGGAAGTGGGAAGAGAAGGATGAGAAAATGGACGGAGGAATGAAGAGGAGAGGAGAAGGATGAGGAGGAGGAGGAGGAGGAGGTAGAGGAGGAGGAGAAGGAGACGCGCGGCGCTGCGAAACCAAAACGAGGACCCATCACACAGGGAATGTTGGGAAAACACATAATTGGGCAACGTAGGGGTGATCGACAATGCGTTCGTTGGAAATGAGTGTCAATAATTTGAAGAATGGTCGATCGTATCTCCTCGCGTGCCTGTAGACACGTATATTACGAACCTTCGATGACCGCCCTCTTCGTCTTCGACCGTACCCCTTGGGGGTGTATCTTCTTTACCTGCGCCATGTATGAAGTGCAGCCCCTAAAAAAGGGGGAAGAGAGGACGGATGGAAGGCAGGGGCACGTGGGAGGGAGAAGGATGTAGCACGAGAGAGATTAGCAGGAGGGGCTACGAGCAGACAACACGTGGCAGAACCAGACGGGCAGATCGGGCGGGTACACCCTAACGGGCGGGTCGGAAAGTCTGCCCAGGAGGCCAGGTCGAGCAGGCGGGTTGCTGTCCCAAGTAACTCGTGAGAAAGGCCAGTGCGAGAGCGTGATTCCTGGGTGTCGAAAGCGCGGCGTCCGAATAAATTGCGAGGACGTACCACGCGAGAGCTCGACTCCTGCAAAGTTGTGAGGAAGTCCTGTGCGAGAGCGCGATTTCAGAATACATCGCGAAGAAGTATCAAGCGGAAGCCGTTATTGTAAAGCAGGGGCCAACAACCCAATATGAGGCCCAAGATTTCTCTTGTCAGAAACACGGTGCAAGTCCCAGGAGGAACAATTAATTGAAACACACACGATGGGCACCGACGGGTGAGATAAAAAATAACTACTCCTTAGAAATGGGACCTCAGGAATCCGCACAGCGGAACCCCACTGTAGCCACGCGCCCAGGGACTGTGAATGACCGTTCGGCCCCCGCACTCTGACATAAACATAACTTTCGGAGGTCCGTGGAGATTTCTTGGATCGGCGCTGGACCCCCTCCCTGGCGCGTGAGGCGCACAAGGGGCGGCGCTGGAAGTGCCACGAGAGGGATCAGGCGCAGATCCAAGAGATCTGCGCGGACCTTCGAAAGTCTATGCTTATGCCATTTCTTCTTCGACATCTGGCACCATGCCAAGAGTTCGTGCTGGTGCTGCCTGCTCTTTTTCAACCTCTTGCGACTGGCTGCCGGCTGCAGGAGGTCGCGGCAGCGGTCGGACTCCATCGCCTTCAGCGCGTCCATCCTGGGGGGGGGCAAAACATACTGATCCCGCCACTCTTGGGACTCTCAACCAAAGGGGCCCAGGGACACACACACACACATATATATATATATACACACACAAACAACCGGATTCCCCATATCTTCCCATATTTTCGGGGCTTCTGTCTCCCCCCCCCCCCACTTCCCCTATTTTCCTACACTTTCCTGGGAGTCAACGATTACTTGTGCCCGTGTGTTTCTTCCCCTCCTGACTCTCAGCCCTCTCCCGGCGCGCGTTCTGCCCAGGACTCCGAGGGCGAACCCCGCCGTGGCGACGCGGGGCGGGCAGCATTTTATCGACATCCCTCCCTCCGCCGGGCAGTCCTGCCCGCACCGCCGCCTCGGCCCCAGCGCGCGCCGCCGACCGCCACGTCGCCCGCCGAGTCGTCCTCCGACGTCTGGAAGATGTCGTCCTTCGGCGGCAGGCCCGGGAGGGGAGGCGAGGGAGGGCGGGCCTGCTGAGAGGTCTCCTCTGCCTTCGGGGAAGTCTTCTGCGCCTGCCCCGAAGAAAGAGGGAGCCTCTCAGAAGACGCGAGAACTTCTGAGAAGTCCCGCCGCCTTCTGAGAAGGCCTTCTCCCTCTCACTTCCCCCCCAGAGAGGCGGAGGAGGAGGAGGCGGAGGAGGCGGAGGAGGAGGGAGAGGTAAAGGAGGAGGAGGAGGAGGAGGAGGAGGAGGACGAGGAGGAGGGAGAGGAGGAGGAGGAGGAGGAAGAAGAGGAGGAGGAGAAGGAGGAGGGGGAGGAGGAGGAGGAGGAGGAGGAGGAGGAGGAGGAGGAGGAGGAGGAGGAGGAGGGAGGAGGAGGAGGAGGAGGAGAGGGCGAGGAGGAAGAAGAGGAGGAGGAGGAGGAGGAGGAGGAGGGCGAGGAGGAAGGGGAGGAGGGGGAGGAGGAGCTCGCCGCCGAGTCCTCCACCGGGTCCTCCACAGAGCTCCCCAGGCGGGCGGCGGCAGGCTGCAGCCCCTCGGGGTACGCCGCCGCGTGCGCCGCCGGGTGCCCCGCCGGGCACGCCGCGGGGAAGGCCGCCGCCGGGTGCCCCGCGCGGTGCGCCGCGGGGCGGGCGCGCACCCCGAACTCCCAGTCCGTGGACGGGCACGACGGGGCCGCGGAGCCCGCCGCGAGCGCGACCGAGCCGTCGTCGTCCGCGGACGGGGCGGAGCGGGCGGAGCCGTAGTCGGACGTCCACGGGGAGTCGGCCCCCGCCTCCTCGGGGGGCGTCGCGCCGGCCCGGGCGTCGGTGCCGAACACCGCGCGGCTCGTTCGAAGCCTTGAACGCCCGCGGCGGGGGCGCCGCGGGTCGGCACGACGCGAACCTGCCGTACTGCAAGCTGGCACTGAGAAGCTCGCCAGGCTCGTCCATTGCCTCCCTAGTCCTTCCCCTCCTCCCCCAGTCTCTACGTTTCCAGTTGCCGTCTGCTTTCCGGGGTGACCTCGGCCAGCTACACAGAAGCGCCACGTGGGTCAGGGCATTGCCTTGCGTTCTGCTCGAGCATTGAACGACAGAGCAATGCCAAATGTTCTGGCGCGTAATACGGCGTACAGTTTATACGGCCTATTTACGCCCTCTACAACGCGTGCTGGCAGTCATCAATACCACAGCTTGTCTTGGAAGTCACCATGGCAATTCCACAGGGCCTTAGATTTTGTGGTGGCACAGGTTGATCTTTCCTGTCGCTTCGCGGTTCCCCACAATGCCATGCAGACATGATCATGGAAGTGCAGAAGCATGTAACAGAACAAATGGGTGATAGGGCAGCTGTTATCCTTCATATGTGGAGGAGTACTAAGCAGAGAAGGATGAAGATGGAGGACGGAGATGAGGAAAAAACGAAAGAAGGCGGAGGATGAGGATGCAGGCGATCAGAAGGAGAAGGAAAAGTGACGGAACACGTTCGCACTGAACTTCTGGTGAACCCCAGATAACGATAGGAGGTGAAGCAGGAGGCGGAGGAGGGGGGATGAGAAGAAAGAGGAAGAGGTGGAAGGAAGACGAGGAGAAAGGAAACGATGTCAACGACAGCAACAAAGACGGCGACGAGGGCGACAGGAGTGAACCCTAAAGGCCTCTTGGAACCCTCTTGGGACCCTCGTGTGGCAATTTGGACACCTCTCGAAGCTCTCGGGAGCCATAAGGGGGGGCATGTTTCGGCCACCTTGGGTGACGTCGATCAAAGCAGAGGGTCGCTCATCGGGGTTTTCCACTTGGGCCGTGATCAGGCGGAGGGGGCGGCCCTTCCTGTGCTGCGGACTTGCCAGGACGTTCCAGATGAGCGTGCACTCAGCGTTCACACGGTTGTGAACGCTGAGTGCAAGCAGAGCGTAAGGTCTTGCAAGTCGGAACGCCAGCTCTGCCCGAATCTCTGAGCGCTCTCGGGGCGTTGCGCGTGAGTCCCCATAGGGGCCA